GAGTATACTTGAATACTTCAATAAGGTCACCCAGCAGAAGTCGATAACAGAGGTTAGGAAGCTTCATAATCTTTAACCTTTCTTCACAAGGCTTGCCTTTTCTTAATAAGTAACACCGACACCGTAAAAAATAACATTAATTGCAGTTATTAAAGTCTTTTGGGACATTTTGAGGTCAATTTTATTTTAAATACTCTCATATATGACACGGAAATGTAACACATGGCCCGGCACGGGATTATTTACGCTTTTCATTCTCTGTGACGTCAAAACAAAGATGCACTGAAAGGCAAAACTTCTCGAGGGTCAACCATATAATATAGTTCAACCGTGGTGGCAGCCTCAAAAAGCAAAAGGGTGGCCCAGTGGTTACAGTTCAGAGTACCAAGATTGGAGCAGAGAGGCGCGGGTTCGATCCCAGCTCTGGGCGCCAGTTTCTGGTCAGAATCGGCAAGGAAGCCGGCCGGGCGGTTAAACACAGCAGAATTTGAATCAGTGAGTTGTGAGTTTGAGACCGCAACAAGCTGTGAATGTTCTGCGATGTTAAGAATCGGCGACAGGCCTATGGTCTAATAAACGCTGAAACCGCTATTATTATATTATCAGCACCAGCAGCTGCCACGGTATGCAGGTGGCTTGCTGTGGCAGCCATCAGCACCAGCAGCTGCCATGGTATGCAGGTAGCTTGCTGTGGCAGCCATCAGCACCAGCAGCTGCCACGGTATGCAGGGTGGCTTGCTGTGGCAGCCATCAGCACCAGCAGCTGCCACGGTATGCAGGTGGCTTGCTGTGGCAGCCATCAGCACCAGCTGATGCCATTATTTGTGGCGTGGCACGAAATTATTTGGAACGAACTCTTGAACAGGCAATTTTTCTTGATGCTCATTGCGCGGTTTAATTCGGTGAAAAAATCTAAATCTTCAATCGCACCAAAGGAATGTTAAGTCGAGATATATTAAAAAAAAATTTTTCATTCAGCGAATATATTTATATTGGGTAACTATTTGGAGTAGCAGCTTGTGTGCTGAAACAGGGTTGGTTTAAAGTTCGTGTGGTGAGATAGGTCAATTGACTACAGCTGCTTAGGTGCCAGGATGACAATCATATATATGACGAGCGAACTATGCATAGGTGTCTCGTATTAAGGGGAGCGTCTAGGGACAACTTTATCTCGGTTATTTACAGGCGGATCGATTCGAAATTTGGTACACGTATGTAAAACGGAATTCTAAGACTTTTTTTCGTGTGAATTTTTCGTAAAAAATGAAAGAAAACGTGAAATTCTTAGAAAACGGCCAAAAAGGGGTACTTTAGAAATCCTATCTCCTCCTATAGGATTTTAAAGCTACAACATCAAGACACATACCATTCGATGCGCAAAGACCATATCTAAAAACGACACTTGGCGGTTTTTTGAATTTCTCATTTTTGTGGGTGTGGGAGCATTTTTTCCGATATTTTTTCGAAATTTTTCTATTTTACCCCCGCCCTCTCCCGCTTTTTGCAAAATAAAATCCGAACTATAACGAAATTGGAAAAACGACCAAGTGACGCTACCTCGCTTCCGTTGGCAGGCANTTGACCTTAATATTCACTTATAAGGAGTCAAAAGTTGTTAGACGTGGTCGGGTACAACCCCCCACACCTGTCTCTTTGCTTTGCTAACCATGTCCCACGACGGAGACTGGAGCAGAGATTTGAAAAAGAGGGTGGTTTTTTGATGGTTGTTGAAATTTTGAGTTAGATTTTACAGCGGCCGTCCCTCTTTCCTAATTAATTAATTAACACGTATTTTGGCGGTTGGAGTAAAGACTGTGAAGCTCAGTGAGTTTAATGGGGTTGAAGAACGAAAACGCTGACCAACACCTGTCCGTTTTGGAAGGTTGTTAGAATCATGGTTGAACTAGCAAAAGGTTGACCCATCAGAAGCCCATTTTTGCGGATGTAGTTCGTTGTTCGCCTGTGACGTCACTGATCTCAGTGACGTCACGGGCATTAACCAATCACCGAAATGCAGCCAAACCAGTCGACCAATCCGTCATGGGAATGACGGGTTTGTTTACGTTTCTCGATCTACGTGACGTAACAAGAAAGCGGATCTGAAAGACGGAACTTCTCGTGGGTCAACCTTATATAGTTCAACCATGGTTAGAATACAGACATGGACACAATGGGATAAGAATATTAAAAGAATACAGAACATACTATTAGTAATTCAGTTATGACAGTTACACTGAAATATTTTATTACATTATAAGTATTGAATTGTAGTGATAACTAAGCAGCTTACCCCAGCAGATGTTAGTACCAAGGTGGCAGACAGAAAATAGTCTATGCTAAAGGCGCGATTGGCTCATGGTTACCCACGGGGCATTCGAAACAAAATTCACAATATTTGATGGCACTATTTAACACAAAATAATTTCGTCTTTTACTAATTTTTATTTATTCAGAAATTACACGAGTGTGATTCATGCTGGAGAATTGACAAGATTTAATGACAGAAAATTTTTATCATTATTTAATAGCGAAATCATGAAACGAAATAAGCAATCGAGTTCAAGATAATTAAGTTACATGTAGTTAGAGATTTTGTTCAACGAGTTTCAATGTTGAATAAATTAATTACGACATTGGCCGGAAAAGACAGTGCGAGAAATAATTCGAGTCACTACAGATTTAACTGAAGGGATTATCGATTTATATAGAGAGGCACTTTACCTATGGCAAGTAAAAATTTCTATTTACAAAGAAAGAATCTTAAGAATACAAGAATAAAAGAAATGAGTAAAGAAATATATACATTAGATCCATTGACATCGAAAAAATCCGTAAAAAATTTACACTCTGCGAAATCAATTTTGAACAGAGATGAAAAAATATGTCCTGAAATCTGGAGCAGGTGCCGAGGGTCCATAATTTACACCACGGTTGTGGTGTTTTAATATTTTTTCGTTTTTTTTTCACGATGGAGATGAGAAACGACCATCAATTTCGTCTCTGGATGAAATGGAAAGCTCGGTAAGTGGTTTTCATGCATTTATTATGAACTAGAAATAAACTCTTTTCTTAATTCAACTTTCAGTACAAATACATTGATTGAAATGAAAATAATTCTTCCTAATCTCTTACTAACACATTTAATCTGTTTATTAACATGCATTCACTCGTCCTTCGATTCAAAAACAACCTTAACATCATCTTGTTAAACTTTTAGTGTATATATTCTCAGTAAAGTTCATCGAATCACCCGAAACCCAATAGCTGCATTGAAAACCAAAATTAACAAACTAATTTGAGCTGCCAACCATGGTGAGCCTCATAAAATTCTTCAGCCCACAATCAGAGAATATCAGCCCGGCTATATCTATGGTACAGGAAAGATCCATAAAACAGGAAACCAACTAGGCCAATAATCACTCTGGTCTCAACCCCGGTGTTTTGAATTGCTAAACAACTAAATCAGATGATAGTGCCTTACATGCAGTGCAAATACCAGATCAGTTCGACTGACTATTTTTTTACAAATTATCCGAGAAACTANACTAAAAACCGGAAACGCCAAAATTTTGATTTTGGACCCAGACGCTCCCCTTAATTAAGCTTACCCTCCGTAAATATTAAGTTAAATTTGCCTGATCTTTCCTCTGTAGTGAAAGGTTTTCTCAACTGTGGATATAAATTAGCTATCGAGTTCTTACTCGATGTAGCCGACACCATTGAAGGCGTTAATTAGATTTTGGGCTCCAAAACGGCTTACTGCCTACTCGAGACAGATGTTCTTTTGGGGTCTGATTTGAAGTCAATTTATTCCCGTACAGATGTAGGCATAATGCTGAAAGGTGACGTGGCACAACTGATAACTGACTTGCCTTCTCTTGATCCCAGGTCATCGTTTACGGGACCGGCTGTATCTGTCAGCAAGCGCTATATTCATAAGACCAGTTTTCTAGCTAATATTTCATGCCTCAGAGCTGGAGTGGTCTTGCAGGCCTCCAGATATTTCTAACCACTTTGAATTGTCGATAAGAATGGTAAACTGTCGCATGAAGAGTTGCATAGAGCAATGAGGCTGTTATGGCGTGGCTATGACCTAGTTTCGGTGAATGTAGTGCTTCGCCTTCAGAGAGCAGGGCATCCGGATATCCCTTGGGAACTTGCTGTCGAAATTCTTAGCTGTCTCCCGCCAGGTGCCGATAGACTGAAGCAGGCGAGAGATTCGCTCATAAACATGCATCATTCCGAATTCATTTCAAATTTAGTTACTCAGGCTACTAACGGTAAAGGTAGGTACAAGCCCGTGACCCATCGTCAAATCGCCGTAGGAGATCTAGTTTTGATCAAAGATCGATTCACGAAACCACTGTTACCTGTTAGCCCGCGTTGATCAGAGCGTGCGGCTACTGAAATCAATAAATTTTAGTCGAAGTTAATTTGGAATCACTGCATTGGAATTAAGAAACGATTGAATGAAATTATTCGTAACAGCTTACATATACTCACTTGTGATTTTCTCTTACCAGACAATTATTTTCCAGACTAGTTAGGTTCCATAATGTGTAAGTAAAGAATGGCTCACGCTAGTCATACTTTTATGAAATTTATCTGTTCTATTGAATAGCGAGTGCATATGCCCAGTTGATTAGATATTAAGCTTTTTGTTTCGGCAGATGAAATGCTTCTCGAAGTTCAAAAAACCTTGAAAAAGCAGGAAAATAAACTGCTTGAGATAAAGAAAAGTGTTCATACTCAATGTGCCAACGTAGAAAAACTACAAACGCTAATGAAAATGGTGCCAAAATTGTGTTCAAACATTGAAGAAATGCAGACAGAAATGGAAGAAGTAAAGGTAACAAAAAGAACTTCATGACCTGGTAAAAAGGCCTGGTGCCCATACAGATTTAATTAATGCCTATATGTTTATGTTGCTATATACACCGAAGAAGGTCAGTTCAATTTCTGAATTCTCATTTGAGAGCAATAACTCTTGTCCCTTGCAGGTGTCCCTCGAGCAGGCATCAATCAACAGCCCTGGAGCTGCCTGTAACCAGGGTATGGTTGCTGGGCCTTTGGGTCTCCATTGGTCCTGCACAACCAACACTTCTGGTGGCATGGCGGGAACCTCCGGTGCTTCTCAAACCTGTTATTTCTGCCCGCAGACGGACGACAAAATGGGCGTGCTATTGCACGCCCAACAATGCCAGATGGACGAAAATGCGAGACTTTTGATTTACTTCCTTAACTACTGAGTGTTCTATTGTATTCATTAATAAATACAGCCGAATGAATCCTTATATATATAGATTGTGCATCATATGCGGTAATAATTTTCTCGTGTTTCAGTGCGGTGTGCAGAACTGCCAGTCAACGAAGAGCCTTTTGGACCACTTGTCGACGTGCCGAGGTGAAAAGACGTGCATCGTTGCGCGCTGCGTTGGAGCTAAAAAGATCCTTTCCCAATACAATTCAGGAGGATGGCAGCGAGCCTAAAACAGGAGAGGTCCGCTTGAAGAAGAGGTCAATAATAATCTAGGTCAGCGCACCGCCCTCAGGGTTATAGGGATCTAGTTGCAAAGTTCGTCAGTCGTAAAACTTCAAAATTTGTCTACCTATTCCATTTAATCGCTAAATTTGCAATTCGGATTTCTCTCGTCATTATCTCACATTAACTAATTAAGGTAAACAATCTCGAAAACGGAGATTTCCAAAATCACTTCCACGTAAGAAACTACCGTTTCTAGTGAATCCGTTGTTCATTATCTCGGCGACAAGAAAGTGAACACGGGATGCCATAGTATAACGGGCCCATTTGTAGTGGAAAACGACAATTTTAAGGCTCTATTACTGCGTCCCGCAATCCTTTGACCCAGCATAAATGTTACGTCGCGTGTGCTACGATTCACTACTTATGGCGCTTTTCACCTTTCGCTAGTGGGAAAGGCAGATAAGGGACTTGATGACATACACCGATCCTAATTCTGCTTACATTACAGAGCGGCTGTTAGTGTTAGCACGTGTCTCGGAATCTGTGTAAGTTATTTGCTTGCTTCTCAGCGCGTCACGTCTTCCTAACTTTCCACTAGTCCATACGCCATTTCTGTAATATGCGCTTCAAAAATTGGATAAATGCGCAACCTTCTGCCTCTTTGATTTCGCGCTCTAGCTTAATAAAACTACCTTGTGGATGTAACTTTCCATTCGCTCGATATTTTAATCGTCACCAAAAAATATACATAAGTATGCGTACCTGTATATTTTGCTACCGCACTGCGCGCCAATTAATGAGCCGAAGCGGATACATTGCTCACTTGCCTTGCTGTAGGCATCCGTCGGCCCCTAACGTATACAATTCCTTTACACCGTCCATTTTATTACCTCCCTACATTACGTTCTTATATTTCGCTACCCTGGCGGGTGTTTAATTTCTCTCTTCTCTGCAAAGTATCGCATCCCATCCACCTGCAGCTGGAAGGCAATACAAGTCAACTCCCCAAATTCGCTACGCCTCATATTGCGGTTCAAATAAATGCTAACAAAACGAAGTAAACGCGGTTGCCTGTCCGTACCCAATCTTATTTTTAATGTCGCCCCGCGCATTTTAAAAAAATATAAGAGTTTTTCACCAGTTGAGCTTCGATACGCTGTATAAATTTGTCGTTTGTTCAATTGTAAATCGCCGCGCGCATAAGATAACAATTAAAAAAATTTATTAGCTAAATTTTGCTTAATAATTTTAGTTCATCCTTATTGTTTAGTGTCAATCCCGAGACTCGAGGTCCGTAAAACGGCTGAAGTTGGAACGATGCTGGAGCGTTGGACTGTTGAGTAGTTCTCATAGAAGAGTTCTTTAGAGAATTCTTTGCTGGAGTGTGTCGTATTTTCAAACTCGTCGGTTGTGATGGTTTCCTGAAATCTTCGCTCAAGCGCATCTAGGCATGCGCGGGTATCTAAGTAAATCCTGTCATCAAGCTTCCGCCAGCTTGTGGTTGTCATCAGCGTATGTCAATATTTAATAAAATGCACTTGGCGTATGGCAATTGGTAGGGCATTCGAAAATTATAACTACTACACGAAGGATGGTGACTATATTCTCTTTGGAAATTTCGATGACGTGCTGGAAACGATTCGGCGACAAAACGAGCATTTGCGCCAAGGATCCTTCAATGGGAATGAGATGAACGTTACAGCAGAAATCCACAATGCCATTGCATGGGAGGAAACGGTTAATACTCAGCCAGTAGAGCAAGAGGAGACAGTACAGCAAGAGCCAGCGAGGAAAGAGGAGCCAACATCGCGAGAGACGCTGGCTAATTCATTGATCTGCTAGACAGTCTTTTGTAGGTGAATTGCCAGTTTTTATGTCATCAAAGTTCGCTTAACTGAACGGAGGGAGTTAGACGACGTCGTTACGTCAATCGCCCTGAATATCATTACGAGGAGACTATTCACTACCGTTTTCAGGGAAAAATTCTTTGCCTCTTGCCATTGACGGAAGATTTTGCCCCCTAAGCACTGCAAGTAAATATTATTAATCTAGAAGAATCTATAAATAGTTACCCTCTACCTCTAGAACCAAGGTGACACTGCAAAATTTCTGAATTACTAACACTAGTGTCTTTTCATAGCAACGATATGTAATATTGTATTTAAGAGGAAAGCCCTGAATTAACACTCTTATTTTAATGAATACCTTGATATCTTGAATCAATTTTAAGAATGTTTATTCGATATTATAAATGTTGAACTTCAAAGAAACCGACATGGGCCCATACTTGATGTTCCGTATAAATATTTCGTAACGAATTTGTATAAAACTTGCTTCCAGTCGAAGAAAATTAATTAAGACTAGGTGAGGAAAGAAACGAAAAGGCTATTTCAGAACCTTGACTCCGACATCAGAATTTTTGTCGGCGGCTGGTTTAAGCTAGCCTTCGCCCCCGCCGACACGCACCAGGCTGCTCCAGAAACGGAGTGGAAACGTTCCCATATCTCTGCTAACGCCGAAATCCCTGCCTGATTAGATTTTCACCAAATATTGATCTAACGTGATGACAATCTAGCCTTCCTTACTACAGCTCCAATACACCCGTCTATTCGGCAACAGAGAATACCGCATTTCAAGATGCTGGACATGAGTAGTAGAGTGCTGTGTAATGGAAGAGACCAAACTGTACATATAATAATGGAAAACCTGGTTTCCGGCGAAACCGTTCACGTCTGTCGCAGCTGTGGGAGCCCTACTTGAAGAGGAAGCTGGCGTAGAGGTTTGCTTTAAAGCTTCTGACAAAGTTGACCATGGGGTGCTCTTTAGAAAGCTGAGGCTGATGGGGGTTGGAGGAAGCCTGTTAGGATGAATCCACAACTTCCTTACAGACAAAGTACAAGCTGTCGCGACTGGAAACATGAAATCGATAGAAGCAAGCGTGAAAAGCGAAGTGCCACAGGGCTTGCGGCTTGGACGAATACATCTTCGATACTGACGCGGAACTTAACCACGCATCTACAGCCGACAATTTACGACTGGATCCTAGTGCATAATATGCAATTCGATGGCACAAAGTTCGAAGTAATGAGATACAGAGTTAGCACTGAAACCGAGATGCCGCAACGCTGCTTGGCATCAGATGGCATAGAAATGGAGAAGCAACTAGTTCGAGATCTCCGAGTGCAGACGAGTACCGTAGGGGTGTTTAGATAGGGTATTCGATTAGTGCTTTAGTCTCAATATTAGTCTCGTATTCGATAGGGTGCTGTAGTCTCGTCGATTAGTTGAGTCGACCACAGTTTTGCCAGCTGAGAGCCTATACACGAGGAGAGTGTTTTCGGTACAGTCCATTACCCTTCAGTACACCAGCGCCAGTGCGACGTTGGGAGTTGTCAAGTAAGTTGTGTGCTTGGTGGAAGCAAGCGAGAGCTCCAGAGTTATGCGTACTACAGCGGCCAGGAGATGAACAGGAGAGAGAGCGACGCAAATGTACACACTATGAAGGGCAAGGCGCTTCTGGGCACACGACTGTCCAGTGTTGCCAGGTTTTTTTCTTGGCGTGAATACCAGATTGCCTAGCTCAAAATACCAGAAATTCTATTGTTCAAAAACAGACTAATACCTCCAAATTGAATGAAACAATTCGTCAGAAACGTTTGTTAGAAAAAAAATTATATTATTTCCTGTCCATTTATCTGGCTTGACGATAATTAGACTAATTGAACACGTCATATTTTTCCCCTCTGTTTGGAACATTTTGACACTTTTCTTTCCCTGTGTTTGATTACATTGACACTTTTTCCTTTTTTTATCACAGTGTCACTTGTCAATGACCTCTCGGACAAAAACGCGGCCTGTCTCACGGCCGTGCCTCAAGAAATTCATCGTACATGGAATATCTTCCAAACTACTGAACCGATTTCAATGAAACTTCGTATATAGGTTCCTGACCACTTAAAGGTGATGTCTAGCCAGTGTGAATTTCGCCCGCGTTCTCGATTTATACGGTAATACGGGCAAAAATACGCATCGTACATGGAATTTCTTCCACGTTACTGAACCTGTCTCTTANCCTTACGCCCTGTCTCTTATACACATCTAGATGTGTATAAGAGACAGGCGCTACATGTAGCGGCCGCTACATTTTCGGTAGCGGTAGCGGCGCTACATTTAAGCAATTGTAGCGGTAGCGCCCGCTACATTTAGAGCATGTAGCGGTTGCAGCCGCTACATTTCAAAGTAACGCTGCCCAGCTCTGTATAAATGTATGATGGTAAGCCAAAGTTTACACCACATCAATAATTGATTCGTCTCGTTATGTCTCGTTAAAATTGCTATAAATTCCGGGAAATTTTAAGGTAACTATTTTAACCGGGATGTCTCGTCTCGGTATCGTCCCGGAATTCCTACGGAGGGCTGAAAATTGTCCCGGCTTTTATTGCGAACCGGGACAGAGCTTGTTGTCTCGTCTCGGATAAAAAAATACCAAACGCAGGAGTCTATTCCTAACCACCTAAAGGTGATGTCTAGCCCGTGTGAATTTTCGCGATTTCGCCCGCGTTCTCGATTTATACGGAAATACGGGCAAAAATACGCATCGTACATGGAATTTCTTCCACTTTATTGAACCGATTTCAATGGACCTTGATATATAGATTCCTAACCACCTAAAATTGATGTCTCGTCCGTGTGAATTTTCGCGATTTCGCCCGCGTTCTCGATTTATACGGTAATACGGGTAAAAATACGCATCCTACATGAACTTTCTTTCACACTACTGAACCGATTTCAATGAAACTTGGTATATAGATTCCTAACCACCTAAAGGTGATGTCTAGCCCGTGTGAATTTTCGCCCGCGTTCTCGATTTATACGGCAATATACGGAGGTCTCGGACAAATTTACGGCCGGACCCGCGACCGGAAAGATTTTCTTAGTGTTTTTATGTTTTTTTTTAGATTTTGTGAGTTTTTAATGGAACCT